GAGAATAGGAAAAGTCCTCACTTCCTTCCCAGTTGTTTTACTGAGAAGGCAGTATCAAAAACTGTACTCTTCAAGTTCAGTTAGCTCTGCTGACAGCAAGTGATTCACTGGGGTGGTTTATGTGTCTTGTCTGTCACTTTGGGCACAACCTTGTCACAGAGTAAGGCTTTCAAAGAACCCTGAGGGAATGAGGTGCCCTGGACCCCACTGTATTTTGAAGTCATTTAGCTCTTTTAGCTATCCATAACTGATTTCCAAAGTTCTGTCAGCTATTTCTCAATCGATGTGTTAACTCCCAGCTGGCTTGCATCAGCTATCACATTAACATGTAAGAATGAAATTATTTTATTTTAATTTCATGTTTAATCTTCCCCTCTTCCCCAAATAATAATTTGTTACATAAGGTAGATATTCTTCAGGTTTGTGAAGCTCCGGGGACAACAAGTGTAAAGGACTTCAGCATCTAGCATTGAGGAACTCTATATGTCTATTGCCATTAATAATATCAATGCACTCTGATTTATTTCAAGTTTCAGGTTACAAGTAGAAGGTATTTCAGGTTACAAGACACAGAGTTATTCAGTCTGTTACTGCATTTAATTAAAACCTCACAGATACAATATTTCACACTATAGAGGAGGAAAAGAGAAAAAAAAAAAAAAAAAGAAGAAAAAACCCCCCTGCAATTGTGAGCCTTATTATAATGGGATGCCTGAAATATTTTGTTAGGTGTAGACCTAACATGAAGTAAGCATTACATGACTGCCTTTGGATTTACCTTCACGAGTAATATCCTGTAGTTGGGTGTGTCAGTGTCAGTTCTTCACATTTCTTGAGTGCAATTAAAATGCTGCATTATGAAAATGATCCTGCAACAGTTCAATTAGAGGAAGGAAAGAAATGTGATTTTTGGAGTTGGAATTCAATCATTAAGTCTACCTAATTACTGCTTAGGTAACATGGGATTTTTTCATAACTATAGATGTTCAGGATCTCTTTATAACTGTAATGTGAATGTTCCCAATAAGTAACAAAGTACCTCTGGGATGATGTGAAAAGGATTGATCAGTGAATCTGAGAGGTAAGAGTGATACAGAGCTCCCTGAGACTCCAGTTTTATCTGGTGTAACTGCCTATCCAAATACTGACCAGACCTGATGCCCATTCAGTTTGTGATCTGGCTAGTCTGTTAGTCTTGGAAGACCTGCCGATGGCTTTCGAGCCCTCTGTTTGACAAACAGGGGAGGGGTGCCTGTTAGCTGCCATGTCACAATTTCTTTGGGAAACCCAAGCCTGACAGCCTATCTTTGACTGCTGACATATCCCACGTTTCAGAAGGCAAATGGCAAAATTTCTACTTCTGAATAAAAAATGTTTGTTTAAATCTACAGGCTTTAGAATTAGCTGCCCATTTCCTTGATTTTTCTTCAATGGAATATGATACTGAAAGAGATTTGTTTGCTTTCACAAAGCAAAAGTAAATGATCACAGTGCTGATAAAATAATCCATTTTTATTATAAAAAGCTGAAGACTGATCAGTGAACTGGTGTTCTAACTAGAGATTAGCAAGGCAAATATTATCTGATGGAACATTCATTCAAACTGCTTATAAATCTCTATGGCCAGAGTAGTCACCTTCAGAGAGAATTTTCAGTTGTTAGAGAAATTTTACTTTTAAATTGAATATCCCAGATCCTCATTCATTTTATGAGGTCCTGATGGTTTCCAGTGTAACCATGGCAGGGATAACTCCTGAAACTCAGCCCTGAATCTTGTCCAGAAGAGTTGTTCCAGGAGATATGTTTTCTCACATAAAACAATAAATTAAAACGTTCAGCTACCCATCCCATTATGATTTCTTGCCTTTGTCTTGAGCTGTGCCATGGGAACGGAAGTTCATTCCTCCCATCTTCTTGTGTTAGTTATATAAACTCTCCCCTGTAAGGAATTTGCCGTGTTTTACTATATATGTGAGGTAACCTATCAAGAGGGCCTTGATCTCCACCTTGCAAGTGTTCTGTGCTCCTGTGCTGAGCCTCTCTGTGCATGTCTAACAGTAATAAAGGTGTAACTTCCTACTACCCAAATGTCCTGGGTCAAGTAAATCAAGTGAAGTAATTAGACCTGTAATTCTATTTGCTTATCTGTTTGCCAGAAAAAGCATAACATACAGGTGTACAGAGGTCTCATGTTTTTCATTCATATATCATTCTACATTTACATCATTGCTAGCTTTTTATATAGGATACAAGACAGCTTTTAAAAATAGCTCTAGGTCAATTGTGTGACTGTACAGTGGACTTTTCTTCCACCGTTTGACTCTGTCCCAATTCTGCTCATTAAATTACCTTTGCCTGAAAGTGTTTAATCAGTGAATATTTTGCTACAACAGAATGCTTCTCTTACCCTTCCAGAGTCTTCCAGAGTAATTTGAAGGTATCAGATATTGGTCCTGGACTGTGGGAAGGCTTAACTGTGTAGCGATCTGTTTGGTACTTGAGAGGTTGAACATGGTGCTTAAATTTCATGAAAATTCCTATTTATCAAAACCACTAAACTCCACTTATAAATACAGATAAGTAGATCTCCTTCTGAGACTTTGCATTTAGTTTGGGCTGCCACACTTAAAATTGATGAGGCCTAAGGTAGTGACAGCAATGGAAAAAATTTACTTCTGTCTTCGCAGCTCTGTAACTGCCTGATATTGTAACAGCAGAAATACATTCTCTTTGCCCTGAAGGCTGTCTGAGGGATTTGTCAACAGCACAAGTTTTCTCCCAACAGGTAACATCCCATTACACACAGCACAAGCTGGTCGGTCTGAACACAGTTTTCCCTCACACTGGGGGTTCACTCTTGTGTGTACCTTTTTCTGCTGAATGATGTCTTTAAAGTAGTAGGTTGGACTATCACTGCGTTGACAACTGTGAACCCTGCTGAGCTGTGCCCTTCCTTCCTACAGAGAGGACAGTGCTGTGTACCTGTCAGGCCTGGGGACCGTGGGACTGGAGGTGTACGAGCAGGTGCCGAAGCTGGACGCAGTGATTTTCCCTGCAGGAGGCCACTGTGGCTTGCTGGCAGGGTCGGCTGCTGCACTCAAACACCTCAACCCACGTATTTCTGTAATTGTAAGTTTCCTTTTACCTGTGAAGTATTGAGTTTTGACAGTTTTCATCACAAAAGTTTTCCAAAGGCACTGGTAGCTAAAGATACACTGGCAGAGCCCATATATGCTGGGGACCAAGACTGTTTGTGCCCTTGGGCTTTACCAAGGAGAAGAGAAGAGCCACTGAGAACCTGCGAAGGCTCTGTCCCTTGGCTGATTGGCTCCATCGAAGAAAAAATGTTGGAAGGCTTTTCCAAAGCAAATAAAATCCAGTTCAGTGTTTTAAATTAATTTCTTACAAAAAGTTTGGCCCTAAATAAGCTACAGAGTGATAAGTTTAGTGATAGCAGTTATTATGTAATTTGAAATTAATTGTTAATTCTAAGAGGAAATGTTGTGTAGCTTTTTTGGTGACCACTTTGATTGTGACTTCTGTTATAACTGGATCAATAGAAAAGTGATGTTACTTATCTTCCCCAGGGGGTTGAATTGGAAAGTTTCCCTGTATTACAACAATCCTTAAAGGCTGGCCACCCAATTGAAGACCAGACTTGCAGCAATCATCACTTTTACGGAGGTAAGAAAATGTATTATTGGAGGTAAAACAAAGGTTTTTGCTGATTTCTCCAACCATATTCTTTTTTCATTAATTCAGTTCAAACATAATTTAAATGAGACCTATGAAGAGTCAGAATTTCATTCATATGGTAAGAGGAAATTCTGACACAGTTCTCCCATCACCACCCTAGCATCCAATACTAATTTTAGTGAATATGAAGTGTTCAGGTGAGTGCTTAGAAATATGAGAGTGCTTATCTGACCCTTGTGCTCACAAGCAGCATCTTAGCTAGTGAAGCCAATGGGAAAACTCTCATGTAAAAGACTGATTTGTGAAAAGGCAGGAAAATGTGGTGCTTAAATATTTATTCACAAAACTGTTCTTGCAACAACAGCGTTTATAAACAATATAGTTGTTTCCTATCATTTGCTCAGAAACCCTCAGCTGTTAAGCAATTTCAGAATATCCTCTTTACCTGAAATTCAAATATCTGGAAGCTTTGGGTTAAACTAGAGTTTTATAAACAAACAACTTCTTATCTCTCTTGGTAAGCTCTTTGTATCTCTACACTCCTTTGCTAACTGTCCTGCTGCAGCTAGCAAACCCAGTGCCACGCTGGGTTCTTCTCTTCTTCAGTCCTTGTTGTGCAGTGAGAAGTGCTGGGCTGCAGGGTCACTCTTACGGTATGACTGTGCCAATGGAGAACAACAATTTTCTTAAAGGAGTCCAAAATGGCAAAATCTTCCTGGGAGGTTTGGTCTTTCATTATGAAATGCATTTTTGTCCTATGAAAAATCAAGCAACTTATGATTATATAACAGCAATGTGCTGCACTCATTAAGGGCACAAAACAGTCAGGACTCTAAAAAACTGTTGAATGTGTCTAGAGCAGGCAGCTTCATATTTTCTCTCTTTCAAAACCTGCAGATGTGAGCGGGCTTTGCTTTGGCAGCAATTCTTTGCAGCTGACTGGGAAACTTGTGGATAAAGTTGTTGCTGTGAGGTAGGTGAAGCAAAGCAGCCAAACGAATAATCCTGGGTGCAGATTGTTATGTATTAAAAATGTGCTGTACCACCGAGTATTGTGGTTCTTCATGTGCAGTGGAGAGCAGGTTGGCAGGAGCTGCAATCATGCACACACCATAACAACATGGTAGTAGTGGGGTACCCTCCTTCAAAGAGGGGACACCGAGGGTTTTGAACCCAGTCCCACATACCTGACCCCTTTGGCCACAACATGACCTGCTGCTAGTACCTGATCATGCTTTGGGTTTGAAACTTGTCCTTGTTGCATTCTATAACACTTGAAGGCAGTTTCTGGCAAAACTCTTCTAAATCTTTTCTGAAACCCCAAGATGGCAGACTATATTTAACACTAGGATTTGGCTAGGATTTGTTCTAGTAAAAAATGCCATCTGATCTTTCAGTTAAGAACAATACTGAGATGCACATTCAAGCCACCAGCACAGCTTGTTGTAATCCCCACCTTGGTGTCTTTGTGTACCCAGGGTAGAAGGAATACCTTTATACATAAATATACATACAAATGTATTGTCTTCTGATTTTGGTAGATCTTTTGTTCTGTTTTGTCACAAGTCTTTTGCCTTCAGGGAGGAGGACATCCTCATTTCAATGCTGAGATTGCTGGAGTATGAGCGAGCCACGGTTGATGCAGAAGGGGCCATTGGACTGGCAGCACTGGCTGCAGGGAAGCTGCCTGAGCTGAAGGGCAAAAGGTACAGCAACAATTAGAGATGGGGAACTGTGGCAAAAAGAAACATGGGCTTGAGACCCTTTGCCCAAGGAAACAGAGAGAAGCAACTTGTTTCATGAGTGACAAAGCCGTTCCTGCACTTGAACTGGCAATGACCTATCTGTGGTATTTACTTCAGGCTGAAGAGACCACGTGCAGGTCAGAAGACCATGGTGAACAAGACAAATGTCAGCCTGGAGACCAGACTAATCTTGTCACTTTCCTGTACGCACAAATGGTTGGGGTAAAGACAGTTACACACAGCCCCACAACGCATGGCCACATCTGCTAGGAGAGCATCCTGCTCCTGTCTGCCTGTTGCCTTCTCTCATTCCACTTGTGGAAATTAGCCCCAGTTCGTACTGGGACAAGAGCTAGGCTGTCTTCTGCAGTCACCCAGTGACACGTACCTCCCAGCCCAAAGAACTCCTGCTCAGATAGTCAGTGGGACTGCTCTTGTGCTTAGCGTTGAACATCTTCTTGCATCTGGGCTTGAGTACTCAGTACTTAAGCAGGTTGAGCCTGATCTCGGGACATAGCCCAGAATGCACCCAAGACAAAATAAAATTTCCAGTGCACAGCGTTGTACAGTAAAATACGGCTGAGGCACTTCTTCAGAAGAGGCTGACAGAGTACATACAGGGCAGCAACAAATTTAAATTCAGTACAACTTAAAAGGGAAAATACAAAGGGTTGGATTTAAATGGGTTATGTTTGACCCTGCAGAGACATTATCACGGACTAACCGTGTGGCTCTTCTCTTGCTCTTCAAACATTTCTGCACTCATTTTGCTGGGTTGAGAGGGATTTAATTAATGGTTACAGAAAGCCTTGAACATATATGTTATCTAATGATTAAGAGGCTAGGACTCAGAACTTCCAAGGAAATATGATGTCACATTTTAAAAATTTGGAACAGAACTTCAATTCTCCAGATAATTATCTCCAACAAAATAACAATCTCCAGGAGATGCAAAGTGAAAACAAAAATTTCAGACCAACTAATGCAGTCAGCTTCTAGACTCCCACTGCCTGCTCAGAACAGATGCTGGAGCCAGGAGCCCCTCTCACATGTAATACATCTTCACTGAAGCATGGTCCTAGCAGATATTAAGGTGATATTGAATACAGCGTCTGTCATTTATGGTTCCTTTGCACAGACAAGTTCTAATCAAAAATTCCTCTTTTTCCCTTTGTTTTCAGAGTGGCAATTGTTATATGCAGTGGAAATTTGGAGTTACATTTGCTGCAACAGTGCATAGCTCGTGCCCTGACCCTCGATAACAGAGTGTGCAGATTTTCTCTTGTGCTTCCTGACTGTGCAGGAGACATTTCAAAGCTACTGGAGATTTTGGCACGGGAAGAAGCAAGGTAAATCAGACTAATTCTATAATTATATAAAATAACCACAGAAAAGCACAAAGATTATTAAAGATTTGGACATGTCTTCAAATGTTCTCTGAAAGCAAGTCTGTAACGAATTAATCAAAACATTTTTTCTTGTTGTATTTCAGAAAAACTTTTATTTCCTTATTCTTCTTTCAATGTGAAACTGACTTTGCAGCATAGAATAAGTATCTAATACATAAAGCAGCAAAGATAACTACTGTCCAAACGCTTATAGAAAATGTTTTTCAATGACAAAGGATTGTTGTGAATTCTAATTTATCCCTTATTTGACCTAGAGTTTTGGATATCCAACAAGAACGCATGTTTGTGACATCTGAGCTCTTCACTGTTGAGGTAAGATGAGAACTAACTTTGGTTTCTCTAGCAGCACTGACCTGCCCTAGTTTATTCTGTTCTCCTATATCTGTACATGACTACGCTGAAGAAGTCCATTAGTGTGTGAAGACATATAAGTAACACAGGACCTGTTTTACCTCTATTGCAGCACTGTGGGTAAAATACTCCAGCTGTTACTATTGCAGACCTTCCTTACGTGCATAGTGGTATGCTGGAGGTGGTGAGCAAGCTGCAGCATCCGTTCAGAACTCGAAGAGCCAGCTCTGTGGGCTGTCTGTAATTACCCAAGATCAATTTGCCTTAATGTGGAGAACACCCTTATTCTTAAGGAAGCTCCATTTTTAACTAGGGCCTTAGTTTTGTACCTTATCCACAGAAAGAACAGAGCAAAATCATTATTCCTTTGTTGAGTATTTGATAATGCAACAGTGAGGAGGTGTTATCAGTTAATGACATCTCTTAAAAGGATCATTTGTCTCATGGCATATCTCTTACTTCAACGGGTTTTGCAAAGGTGTGGTTCCAATGTTTTCATGCCACTGGTGTTGGAGTCCAACCTGACTTGGTTGTGAAATCACAGGTGGAAATTAAATTAGGGATCGCTGCTAAACAGACTCACAACTGGAATTCAATAATGCTATTGAGTAAGGAAATTCTTCCATTTTAGCATTTAAATTTAATTTTCCACCTGGATGCAAAAACCTGCTCAATATTTTTACCTGTAGATATTTTTACTTTGTATATAAATAATAGGTTAGATTAAACGTGACTATAGTGACAGACTACAGTGAAGTTTGTGAACATCTTTCAGAACATGATATTATCAGTTTTCTCAAGAGTCTGGGAATAAAACTACATTGTTCTGCAGTTTGACATAATGATGGGCCATCTTTCTGGTTTGGGTAACTTGAAAATAACATGACACTGCACGGTGTAGACAAATTCCTCTGACTCAAATTATCTCTGAAAAACCTTTTACTGAAGGCTAACTTTGACAAACCCTGTAACTCTTCTAAAGTTTTCAGCTAGATTTTCGTGAAATAAGGCTTGTAATTTTTATTAATGCTACTAAGTAAATGAAACCAAATCCAAATTTTTTGTTTTTGAGTGAGAATGTTAGAACAGATTGCACTTGCACCCTCTCCCAGTGATGCAGTTTTAACAGAATCTTTAGTAAGTACAGCCCCTGAATGAAAAAGTACCACATGCTATTGTCTGCAGTCCAACACAATGTATTTTCACTGACTGTCCATCTCAATAATCTGACAGCGTTGTACTGCAAGAGGGCTGAAGGGAGAAATTTCAATCCCTGAATAATTTAATTGGATGTTGGGTTTGCATGGTGGCTTTTAATGAGCCTTGGAGAGGCTATTGGATAATTAGATGTGAAGCACAAAGTGGTGATGCAGATCTATAGACCTTAGTAACTTTGGAGGCAGTTCTAACTGGTGACACCTTGTGAATTGCAATGCTTTTTTTCAAAAGCTAAACCAAGAGTAATCAAAAAAGGTAGAATATTGAACTTATCTTTAAGCATCAAAATGAATTTGCTCTAACCAGTGACACGAAAATGTATGTGATTTCATAGTAAAGTTAATCATAGAATCATAGAATGTCTGGGCTGGAAGGGACCTCCAAAGGTCATCTAGTCCAACCCCCCTGCAATAAGCAGGGACATCTCCAACTAGATCAAGCTACTCAGAGCTTCATCCAGCCTGATCATGAATGTCCCCAGGGATGGGGCCTCCACCACCTGTCTGGGCAACCTATTCCAGGGATCTATAGAGGTTTCGCTTGATTCATTGTTGCTTACAAGGACCAAAGCCCTGTGTCAGCAAAGCATTTTAAGCACTGGCTTCTAATGCAAACCTGCAAAGAACTTTGTACCATTTTCATCAGTGTAAATCACAGTGCATTAAATGAAGCATATGTTTAAATCTAGATCAAGGACCAAAATTATCATGTGTTGAACTGGTGAGAATAATAAGAAAGGCATTACAGCTATGCCCATTCCACTTTAATACATACTTTTGACAGAGGATATAGATGAAGTGTTTGACACAACAGAGCAGTAAGTGTAGTGGCTTATTTGAAACACTGAATCAGTCCTGTCAAGATTAGGATCTCAGTATTTAATAATCCTTTTAGATTTACCCCTTTTTTTTTCAAAAGAGAGAAATTTGGATTCTAGCTGTGAAGACAAAGCATTTTTTTTTTCCTCTCAAGCCTTGTTGGGTTAGTGTTTATCCATCTGGTGCACACTTGGAATGCTCCATGGGAAGATTCTTGCTGATGGTCTGCCTGCATGGAGTAGTAAGGACTTTATAAAAGGAAGCTTTACGTTCAAACTACGCTCCTGGAAAAATAACTTTTGGACCATTTTACTGGCAAAAATAAGAGGGTTTTTTTAATGTTAAAAAAAATGGACTACACCCTAATTCACTCTTACCTGGGCAGTTAGTCCTAATATTGCAATCAGTAACTTCTAGCAAATCATACATATAGCCAGTCTGGTGGGCTTTGCATTTATATGTAATGAAGCGGGTTAGATGGCCAGGAACATCTAGACAGAAATAAAGATCAAACCTAAGGAAGAAATCATCCAGTGTGACATCTAACTGAATATAGAGATCTAAAGGATGAACGCATTCGTGGAAGTTCCAAGTTGTTTCTGTGAACTTTCCCTATTCTTTATCAGTAATATTCCTCAGATTCAATGTGGGACCAACACACTGATGAAATCACTTCCATCTGTAGACTTCTTTATAACCATATAAAGCCCTTTAATTTTGTGTTATTATTATTGACTTGTAGAGAAGTCAATGAGGATAGTCAATGAGCAACTTAGCAAAGATAGTTCTTATTTTATTACGAAGCCATGCAAGGCTCTGCTATAAGCAGCTTGACTGTTTAAGGGGTGTCTCATATTTGGACTTGGGCAACTCAGATAAAAAAAAAAGTATCTTTGAGCTCATCAAGTTTCTAGAAAAGTGTTATCCTTGCCACTGAAACTGCAGCATAACCAGACTAGCAGGTACAAGAGGGTCCTGGAACAGAGCAGTGAGGGCCTGCAAGGTCTTTAGGTGCTCCAGGAGCTTTACAGAGAAGCAGCTGTGCTGGCAGTTTGCACTCTGACCTCAGTCCTGTTTGATGTTACGGGGTTGTCTGGTCTGTTCACGTCAAACCTCTTGGCACCTTAACTCTGCTGTGCTTTTAAATAACTCAGAAGAGACCAGTAGTAAAAAGAACATTTGTCACATTACTCCTCCCTCTGACTGTGCAACAAAATGCTAACTCATACATCAAATGTGCCTTTTTCTACATCAAATGTGCCTTTTTCTTTAGGATAACATTACACATTGTCCCACTGCTGCTGGGTTTCCTGGCTTACTTTCTGTGGTGTAATACCTGCCTTTTCCATACAGTTTATTCACCTTAGGCCAGAAATCACTAAATTATTTTAGTCTTCTCTGGTTAATTTAAGTAAATTCCTCTGGGCCAGTTTGTGTTTTGTAAAAGGCCAGAGGAGAATATTTTGGATTAGAGTGCCCTGTTGCCAACACATTCCATAGTATTGTCGTGTGAAGAGAATATAGAGGAGCAGCACAAAGCTGTCCAGCTACAAGAAGAATGCTATCATTCCTAAAGCATTTCCTGAGCAAGACACTGTTTCTGTGCTTCAGTTCCCCACCTGCAAAATGGAGATGTTTGGAGTGGGAAGTTAGACAATATATTTCTTCTGAGGTTCTCCAGAAGAATCTGATCATTTTCATTAATGGCATTCCACAGCAGACTGACCTGGTACAGAAGAGCCTACCCTACTTGTAGAAGCAAGAACCTGGGTCTGGGGAGGATAGGAGTAGACCTGTTGGATTATGATCTGACCTTGGTAATGCAACAGTAACCTGCTCGTACGCCAAAAGATAAGGGCTTGGGTTGCACAACCAGGTGACATCTGTGACAGCTGCCTGGCGTTCTCAAGCATTGCATTGCACTGACCTTGAGGGCTGTTTGGCAGCTGATCCCCAAACCATAAACTGAAGTGCTGTTGCCAAATAATCTGTAACAAGCAGTAACGTACACTGGGTGTTTGCTGAATATTTCAGAAAATTAACCAGTTGTTGATTTTTTTAGTAGAAATTAAAAGCCTTGTTTTAGTTATAGAACAGAAACCAACACATACAAATAAAGTTTTCATTTCTAACTCCAATGATTTTCGTGCAAGCAAACCTAAACTGTTGCTAAGCATGGTGTATCATGAATATTGAGTAACATGAGTCCTGCAAATCCAACAGTTTAGAAGATGATGATGATGACTGTTGTTTCTAGGATTAAAGAATTAGGATGCAAAGGCTCAGTGGCTAACTCAGGAACATAAGGAATTGCACTAGCTGGTTATGGTCTATCTCTACATGGAGCCTGGAAAAGCACAAAAAAAGAAATCTTTTGAGCAATTTTACTCATATTTCCTCTGTTCTCTAGCACTGTCTCAGAAAGTCCACCCAGTATCTTTATTTTCACACACAACCTACAGGTATCAGGCATGAGGAAGTTGAGAGGCATGCTGAATTCATTTGTAGTATCCAGGAAAATATGTTCTAAAAGGGAAAGGTGCCCACATGTGAGACCTGAAGTTAAAGGCGAGCAGAGGTGCCTACCCTGTTGCCCAAATTCAGCACAGAACTTTGCAAATTTCCTAATTCTGTGAAGTTTTGAATTTTCCTTTATTTGAAATGGAAATAACTCCTATGACTATTTTAATTTATTCATCTGGATTTTGGTGTTGCACAAAGTAATAATGTGATACATTTTTTCCTTTATGTTTTTTAAAGCCTTTGTCCTCCTCCCTCAATTAATTCTAGTTAGTTAATTAATTACTACTAAATGAAATCTACAAGGCATCAATATTCATGAAGACTGTTCCATCTTCCATAACTTGCAGGCCTGCTATGAAAAAAACTCCAACATGCTTACTAAGCCTTTAAACTGGAATCAGATTACCTGCCACAGAAAGCAGACCTCTAAATGCAATAAAAGATCCATCTGCCTGGCTATTTTAATAGTCTTACAGGACCAGATAATTTTTTTAATCCAGCAAGGATATACTGCACTGGAGAGAAATGCACAAATGTACTTATTTTTTTCCTTTTTTTTTTTTTTTTTGATACTCAGAAAACATGTCTACTGTGCAAACATGCTCCTGTAGTCAATGAAAGCTCTGCTGGATCCCGAAGACTGTGTGTAGTACTGAGGGTCTGTGGATTTGAAACAAATGTAAAGTAGAATTTTCACTAGCTGTCATGGGTTTTCTTTCTTGGAGTGTAAAAAATATCAGGCAATAGGTTTTGTCATTTGTTCTTAAAGAAGAACAATTTTAGAGCACCTTTAGTTCATCAGTAGGTATGCAGCCTGCTGTAGCTAGTAGTACCTAGATGACTGTTGATGCTAGATAAATATAATCTCCACACACCTCTGCATGAATATGATGATTGCTCTGTTGGACCCTCATGTAAATCATACTTCCCAGGTGAAGTGAGTAAGAAAGTGGAGCTCTGTGAAAGTAAAACTACAGTGTAAATTGTCTTAATCTGAGCAAGAAAGCAAATTCTTGCCTGCCTTGCTGTTTAGATCAGTAGCTGTTCTAAGTGTAGAGTGATTTTCTGTTCCCTCCAGCTGTGAGCAAATGTTTTCTCCTCCTTCATTTGACAAGTATGAAAAAATCAGGTAAATTTCTGGACTTCTTTATTATTGCTGCTGCTGTTGTTATTACTTCTATAATGCATTACAGTGTATTAATGGCCATATCATGTGTTGAATGTTGTGCAAGCATAGGACAAAAAGATTTATGCAAACTATTTGCAAGCTCTCTTGCTCAAATCTATCCTAGTGTGTCTGGCTTCAATCATCAGCAGAAAGAAAAGGGCAGAGCAGAGGATTGTTAGCTCTATAAATCAAAAAGTTTTCCCATCTATTCTCCCAGGGCAGAGGAACTGCTTGCTGCCAAACATTCAAAGCTGAACCTGGCAAACCCAGACTGGTTCCAAGTACAGCAACTGATTTGCCTGGGACAAAACAGGCACGGGCGCTGTGGGAGGGGAAAAAGGGTTCATTTTTTAATTACAGACTTTGTGAGACATGAGTGTGTGATCTTGAAGATATGACTTCTAGGCTTCAGGGATTTTTATGTGAACCAGAGTATAGATAATGGTAATTTGGTACCTAGATATCCTTTAAATATTTATGTTCTTTCCTCTTCCCTCATTATTCATTGTCTTCCATGACTGTTCTTCTCCTGAGACTTAATCCCACTTTTTCAGATTAGAAAGAAGTTAGCACCTGTATTCCAAAGAACCAAACAAGAATAGAACTATGTTCAGGATAACAGGTCAAGCAGTACAGAAACAGATAAGAAATGTGGTTTATTTCATGACAGATATTTAAGAAGCCACTGGCAGTTTTATAATTAAATGAGCTTACGGCCATTTAGAATAACCTGGAGTTAGTGTTTTATCTTCTTACTCAGCAGTTTTGTTACAAGTTTATTGTTACTTCAAGCTCAACCTCGGAAACACAAATTCATGAAGTTCTTTTGTAGAAATGTCTTCATAAATGTATCTGAGTAAATATAATTTTATTTTTTGCCTCGTTGCTTTCCCTAAAGGATGTAGCTTTAATAGCAACATTTTACTGGGCATCTATCTCTAGTTGTCCCCTTTAAGGTTACCATGAGCCATTTTTCCTCTATTCTCTGTAGATGTGCCTGTTACAATAAACTCCCTGTTGTTGCACTGTGACTCATTTTGGATCCTTTCCTCACTAGACTTCCATGTTTCTGTGAGGTCTTTTTTTCCACATGGCACTTTCAACAGCAGTGGTAATTCCAGCAGGGTCAGTGGTGCTAGAAGTTAGTAGTCTAAAATGTGAAATACAAGTTTTCCTCCCACACCTTTGCTTTGGTGCCTCACCTTTGGTAGTGCTCAAATGATGCAGTAGAGACATGAGTATGTAGAAAAGAGGGATTAAAGAATTATTGAAAATGTTGCATTGAAGTTTCTTTCTTCAATAGTTGCATGACAAGGTTGTCTGTAACACTTGTGAGGGCAAGGACAGAATAAAAGGAAAACGATCAAGATTAGTTTTGCCTGGGTTTAGTTTGATTTAGCAGCAGAACAACCATAACAGAAAACTAGAAGTAAATCACTGAGTAAACAAAAAAAATCAGAGTAAATTAAGAAGATATATGAGTAGATGAAACCAGACAGAGTACTGCAGAGACAATGAAGGACTGGGGGATAACTCCAGGAAAGAGAAGAGAGGGAGAATATAAAAAGCTTGAAGGGTGGAACAAACACTACTGAGAAACATGGGAAATGGGGTGTGTTAAGAGGCAGAGATGGGTGAGGTGGCAGCAGCACCACGTATGTACCCCAGGGAATGGAAAACAGAAGGTGTCAACAGATGACTTCAGGGAGGTCAACAGCAAAGTATTTGTCCAGGAGCCAGCAGAGGATCAGCCTATCTTCTTCAAAGTCTGAAGTCAATAAAAAGTAGGGCTGTTGGAAGGTTTTAAGACTGTGTGGAAGGACTGGAATAGTCCCAAATGTCTGCAATGTCAGTTTTCTTACCCGCAAAGACAGGTGATACGACGTCCAGAGCGTTTATGTTAGAACTGATCCTTTTGGTTTTATGCATGTGTATTAGAATTTTGGTGGAAATGCTTTTGCCTGAGATTGCTGCCATGCTGTCAGGAATGTTCCTAATTCTTTTCACAGGTCACCTGTACTGTGGAGACCAGAGACAAGATCCACACAGCCCAGCTGAGGAACGCGCTCCTGGAACGCTACCCCACAGCCACCTGGACAGAGCGGTGATGGGCACAGCACAAGGGGAAGGGCCCAGGTCCTCTGACAAGTGTTTTACAGAGCCCTAATTTTGAGGCATTCAGAACAAATACTAAATTTCAAAGCTGAATGCTTAGTGAATAGTCTCGGGATATTTATTTCTTGCTCAAAATGTAGTGAATGTCCTGGGGAATAAAGTTAAACTCAAAACTTCAGCTTAGCTAAGGGAAGCCTCTAGTCTCTGCTGGCGTTGGAATTCAGTAATTCATTATCAGCTGGCTGTCTGAATTTTGGATAGTGTGTAGGACCCAATGGCATTCAATAAATAAACAGCGAGAAGGCATGTTTCTTGGCATCTGAATATAGACCTCTCAAAGGTCTTTTGATTTTAACACTCCTAGTCAAAGTAATGCAGCTTCTTCTGGTGGACTTTGCCATACTACTAGTATAGTAGCTTTCCATATCCAAGCCAGAAGCAGCTCTCCATTTGCTGAATCTGCTTCAGGAGATATATGCATGTTAGTGGGTTTGAACATCTGTTATGATCTTTGCTACCATGTGAGGAAAAATTATGCTAATAAAATGCAATTTGAACAAAACCAAAAAATCCTTTGGAAAATAAAAGCTAATAATGTATTCTTTTTTCTTTCTCCTCCAAGGGAAAAAGATCCTATTTATAAAGTTCCAAAAGATGTTGCAGCAATAAAAAAATGCATTGTATTCTGAATATAATTAGACCTCATATGCAGAACACAAATGTAATTCTTCCCTCTGCTTTTGGGGACTCAGGATAAAAAATAGCATATAAAACATCTTATGTTTCTTCATAAAAAGGAATCTCTCCACCCCTGTGAATTTTGTAATTAGCATTACACTGATCATCTTAGTCTGGCTAAAATAGACTCTATCCATCTGACCTGACAGATTAAGTACACTGTTAAGAGTGAAATATATTTAAAGACAACATGTTAATAGCCAAAGGCACTGCTGGGAAAAGAGGAAGCCTAAGTCTTAGACACATGGCTAATGCAATTAACAAAGAACACATTGACCTAAATACCATTTTCATCACTACAGGCAGAGACCAAATGATAAGGTAACAGAGTGGGATGGCAAGAAATGTTAAGATAACTTCAGGCCCAGTTCTGAGTGTGCATACAACAATTGCCTTTCCACTTGGGCAAAATTCAGTTTAAGGCCAGCTGCAGCAGAGCAAACATATACCATCCCAGTTGGTTAAATTTTACCAGAATTGACACAAATTTTGGGTTCAGGCATTTTAATGAGAGGTCTTAAACCTGCCTCTAGGATATCAAGTTGATAATTAAGTATATAAAATAAATGTGATATGTTTAGCAGTGCCCTGGCAGAGCTCAGCTGAAAATCCAGTAAGATCAGTGTGAGCATCTCCATGGGCTCTGTGGGTTGTAATCATTCCAGTTCCTACACACAGAGCTGGGTGAGCTCTTGCTAGGTGCCCAGGAAAGCCAGCTTTTACGATAGCTTTCTGGGGAGAAAGGTGCTGTAAGCACATAGTGATGCTCCTTTGTTGTCATGTTATAATTTATAATTTGGGGTTCCATCTGTAGTCCTCACCTGCAGTTAGGAATGGGCTTGCTGGCACATTTCCTCTGCTGGTTCTGTGGTGGGAAACTTGTCTCTACAATAAGGAAGTCCTGTGTAGAAGAGGAAGGAGTTTCCCTGGGGTAGGGGAAAGCTTTCTCTGCCCTCTCTTAATTCTTGTCCATCTGTAAGCTAGGCAGAAGGTCATCCAGAGAGTTAGAGCAACCAAAGCAGAAGGCCTCTAAGAACTAAAAAGAATGAACTGTATACCAAATCTTATGCAGATTTCACCTGTACTGTATCTACTATTTTTGGATATCCAGCTGTATCTGTAACTTAACTTGTGCCTGCAAGGTGGGATGAAGAGGGCAGCATTCTGACTGTCTTCACAGACTTTTTTTTTTTTCCTGGGAAATAGTCTGTTCATTCCTTCTTATAGTGGCTCATGAAGAATTGGAAGCAGAGAAGAGATTCTCACGAATGGTGAACAAATAATAGAAGTTCACTAATTTTATCTATTTTTGTAAGGACCATGCTGGTTTGCACACAGAACTAAAAATTATTGATGACCCAATATTTAGTTTCTTTCCCTTCCTGCCATCCAGAATGATGGGTATAGGGCTTGGTTACAGAACGTGTTATGTAAATCACAGCCTGTCAGACACGATTCCTTTCTTCACAGTGAGAAGAATTTCAGAAATCTCTATAGAAATATGTGATGGTGGAGTACGTATTGGCTATGCACTAGCTGCATTGAAACAAGCAATGAACAATATCATCAAAGAGCAGATTTTGGGATGTAAATCCACTATAAATAAGGGTCTCTTTTGGCAAAACTATTGGTAAATTTTGAGGATGTCTCGGGTATCTGTGAGAAGAAAACAAGACTTTATAAGCAATGTTCTCAGTAGTGGCCAACAGCTTCTGCTGTTTGAGTTCTTGGTTTAGTGTCCTTTATTATCTTTGACTTTATTTTTTTATAATCTTATAGCATAAACAATGTTTCTGATCAGTGGTAACGGAGTTTAAGTCTCCACAAAACTGAGGCAAGTGAGGCAGGAGATAGATCAACTGAAAATTAATGCACTCAAAATGACTGTATGAATTTGCAAATGTGTTTTGGGGAGAAAAAGAAAAAAAAAAGAAGGTGATGTCTAGAAAATACTTAAAATGTCAAACATCATATATGCAGTTTGGTTTTCTTTTAATTGTATTAAAAATAAACTCTAAATCACTCTTCAGTTGCAAACCCTTTACATGTGAACATAATGATACCACAGTTGATTTCCATTCTATATTGCTTTTATGCAAGTCCATTGGCTTTAAAGCTAGGATGAAATACTTCCAAGGGGAAAAAAGAATCATAATTAAACATTTAAATGAACGTATGTAATTTGAAAGAATAATGAAATACCTGTACTGCTAGCCCTTTTGCATTATGAAGTATAACAGGACTATGGCATTTCAAAGATCTAATAATGAGGTTTGAAATGTTTCATTTAAAGAAGTATTTTTATACAGAATATTCTTATGTACTTTGAAAAATATGAATGTCAAAGATTAAGAATATCACAAATTGTTAAATCAGCAAAATGTGAATCTAAGCATTGTATTTATTTGAAAAATAATTAAAATTATGCTGTACCACCTCAGGAATGCAAGATTTGTCATTCTCTCATATGGTACCGATAGCAGCTTTGCATCAGAAATTCAGAGTTTTCTCTTTTTTTGTCCCTTCTTTGACATTGACACAAAATCGGTGTCACTCCCCCACAGGGAGCTCTGGGCTGCTAGGCAGAGGAGCACAGCTGGGCAGGACTGGAGTGGAACGGGAGACTACCAGACTGCTCAGCAGCGTGCCTGGGTGAGCATCAGTCCTCACGGGCTTGGAGATTCTGTTTCATGGACTGGTCCAGGTGTAAATGCGGCCTTGCTTGTACCTGACTGTGTGGGCAATGTGTTGCCTGGATGCAGAGATACCCTGGGGAGGGCTTGTGTGGGTGAATGAAATCCATACCTGCTGAATCAGATCTCAGATGTCACAAATATTATGAACTTTGGTAAACCAGTCCTTCAATTTCAGTGTACAGCAGCTCACCCACTAAAATCCATGTTCTTGTCTCCTGTGGAAAATGATGCTTTGACCCAGGTAATTCTGCTAGAGCTAAGCTACTTAGCTTTAGGAGCAGTCCTATAAATACAAGCTTTGTCAGGGACGCAGCACAACTTCTTCCAAGGACAGATACCAACAAGGTGCACAACTGAAACAAAACCTCTTCCCACAATGATTCTTTCTGTTGGTTCTGGATTCATACCTAAAGCTCTAACAGTACATGTTTACACAGCATCAAGAAAAGTTCCTCTCCCCGTGCAGGTGGTGTGGCCTCACAAGCAGCACCCTGCCATCTAGCCTACTACTTCTGGAGGGTTTAGAAATGTGTGTTACTCCTTCCCATCCCAAAACGCAGTAGGTGTGTTTGACATGCTGTATCAATGTTTTGCTAGATCCAGACCCAGGTGTGTGGTTCAGTAAGCCCATGTAACTTGCCTCCCTGAAGAAAGGAAGAGCTGGCAAGTCCTTAAGGGGCAAAGCCAGATCAGCCACACCTGAATGCATGAGCAGAAAGGTTATGAGGGGCTTGCCCTGCTCTCAGGGGAGCAGAGTAGGTTGGTGAAGTGGTTCAGCTGGATTGCTGGTGTTGTCTGAAAGCTCTTCTAGGTGGAGGTACTTTTATTTGTTTTTTTGAAAAGATTAAATTTCAACTGTGAATTTTTTAATCTGTCCCACTTCTGGAATTTTTGGAAAGGGTGTTGTTAATGAGATGGTTTTTGGGGTGATTTTTTTTGTGCTAAACTGCTATTGTTGTGTTTTGTTTTGTTTTGTTTTTAGGGGGTGGGAGGGTGTTGGTTGGTTTGGGTTTTTTGGATAAAGAGCCTAGAGTGTCTTTACGAGAAGATTTTAACCTGTGTGCTTTCTAAACTTGGTATATCAGCCTCCGTGTTTATTCCCTCAAGAGGCGTCTAAAAGGTTTTCTTTGGTGAGAACAGTCTCAAAGCTGGCTGATAAATAATACAGTGGTATTCCTCATAAGGTCTAGTATACCGTGTAGGCTGTGTCACATTACTACTTCTACTTCTCTTCTGAAGAGCAACAGTGAAGGAAATGTTGAGGGGTTTTTTTTGTTTCTTTTGCTTTTGACAAACTGTAAGTTTCTTGAACTGTTCGTGCAGGCCTTGCATACAGGCACTAGTCTGAATAAACATGCTGCTGACAAGATAAACTCAACATATAGGCTGTAGGCCAAATGCCAAAAGTTCTCATTAAGTACTTAAATGAGTGGAGTAATTAAAAAACCCTCTAGAAAGATGTCTTCATTTTGTATGTGGAGATCACCTGCTGGGAGGCAGGGGAATAAAAATGTACAAGCTAGCAATTAACAAGCAAAAAAGGCAAAGGATTTTTAAAGCTGCACAGCCTTGTAAATAGTGAAGTGAGACTGATGGCCTTGTTAATGAAGTCTCATTTACAACACTACTGTAATTAAAAATGTGAATTGATGTTCCCCTCTCTTTATTCAGACATGAGGTATAAATACAGAAGGAACATATAATTTGGAATCTCACATTCAAGGAGACTTTACTACATTAGCTACTTTTTTCTTTGCAAAGGTCATTTGCCTGAAAGACTTAAAATCAGGGAGTTACAATTTGCTTTCTATAACTTGTTCCTCTAAAAATCTACTATGATTTAAAGGTGGAAAAAATTGGCCTGGGTAGTTCTTTGTGCTTTTCCTGCAACAAAGTTACTAAGCAATCACAGCGTAGAAGCACTGTTGTAAGCCATGTTGTAACTTCTGTGAAATTACTTCTCTTGATCACCAATGCAGGTCAAATAAATATTGTCTTATTTTGTATATGTCTAGGGAAAAAAGGCAGTTTTAAGCTTTCTTGGAATCTACATTATTGGCATAAAGCATACCCAGTCTTGCACATAGACTTTCATAGTAAGAGTTTTTTTCTTGTTTTCAATTTTAAATGGATGGCTAAACAGTACTTATTTCTCCTCAGTACTGTCAAAAGCCTACTTCACAGAAACACCCATTTGAAAAGCCTTTCTTAATGCCAGCTTAGCTGTCTTGGTGACTTACCTTCTTGTTTAGTGGTGTTCTTTAATAGTAAAAGTCCTTCTGTAACTTTCATTTGGTTTCCCTTTTGGTGGGATGGAATATTTTGAATTTTTTTTTTTTTTTTACAGTGAAGTAGTAACATTTGCAAATATTTTCTTTTAGTGGGCCAGGTGGGTTGGGAGTTGATGTGGGAGATGGTTTGACACTCAGCTTTGGCCTTTGAGCTGCTCTAAGAACTTCTGTTGCTCTCCCCTTTTGTTGTGCAAAGGGTGATTTGATTACAATGGAAAGAATTGCATTATGTGATCAAGAGTAATCCCTTATCGTTGCATTAGGATAATAGCCTGAAGAAATGTTTGTGCCTGGTGTAACCAGCACTGTTTCTGACAAGACTTATTGGCCATGAATGTGCATCTCTTTATGACTTTAGTGAGCTGCTAAACTGGATTCATGCTTCTGCAGGCACTTAACTAATAATTTTGTCAAGTATTATGGTACATTTATCTTTTTACAGTGTTTGGGACACTATAAACAAATATTCAGAAATCGTATCTCAATATTATTTTCAGTCTTGTAATTCTGCAAGTTTACTTCCCTTAAGGGTATTCTGCATTAAAAGCTGGTCAACATTGCTTATCTTGTGCTTCTTGGATCTTGAGTTGACATTCTCATGGGTTTCAAAAATGTGAAAAAACAGGCATCCCTGCTGCTTACAGCTCTGGGACAGAGACTGAGAGTAAATACTTTGGGCAGGAGGTGTAGTGGTGGTGTTCATTTTGGTTTGCTGTTTGTTTGGTATTTTTCTTTTAAATGAATGGAAAAAAAACTGATGCCAAGCAAGGGTAGGGAGGAGAAAATATTTGAAGGCAGATAAATACAATGTAGTTGCATTTCTAGTAAGTTTGATAAGCAATGCCCAACAAACTCCAGAGAGCTGCTGAGATCTGTCAAGCTAAAAAAACAAAAAACCAAACAATAACCTAGAGAGGCTTAAAAAAAACCCCTGCTGATGCCAGCATCTGGCTAAAACTTGTTCTAACTTGAAAATATTTTTAACTAAGGTAGTTATGAATTAACTACTTTTTCTTTCTTTTATAGCTTCCTTGGGCTGCACTGAGGAAGCTTTTACCATTGCCTCTTTATAAGGAAGCACTCCTAATTGAGTCTAACAAGTTGTGATTTACCTGTAGCCATTCCAGAGCCCTGACAAAAATGCTGTGAAAGCTCTGATGGTGAGCACTGCAAGGACTTGGTGTGCAGGCTGCTGGTAGGAGGAGTCTGGCCTTATTTACAACTTCAGTGTTGGAATGTGAATAGTGCAAAACAACAACAGACAAAAATTACTATTAAGAAGAAAAGGTCTTTTGTCACCTAAATTTTTAACTAGCCTTGGCATTATTGTTGCACCTTTTTCTCTGTACAGGGACACTACTATGAAAATGTTGAACCAAAGTTATCCCTCTTACCCCTTCACATTCTTAGCTTAATGTTCATTAAGTGTTCAATTAGAATTAATCTTGAAAGGCAAAGTATTATACCTATACATGGTCTAGAGCCATGGAGAATTTTTTTTAAACATTTAGTGGTGGTGTTTGTGGAGACAAGTCACATCAATACCTTGCCATGTTAGGAATAATAGACTTTTGTGGAGCTCCCTCTGGAAGGCACTCAGCCAGCTGATCCTATATATTCCAAGTGTGACCACTGATATCAGTGTAAAAATCATGCCTATATATTTTGTGTAGACATTTATTTCCAGGATAAATGAAAAACACTTCTTCACTTTTAAAAACAATCTTTATTCCAGGGTGGCAAACTAAGATAAAAGGTTACACAGTAAAACACAGCTTGGGCTCTTGATATTCCTGTTGGATTTCTAGCCACTAAGCATGAGTTTCTGCTTCTCTACAAAATGGTACCAGTTGGCCGTTTAAAAACAAAACCAAAACAGAACAAATAAAACCAAACCCACAGCCCAAACCGCAAACCCACCACCACTTCAAACCCTTCAGTTCTCCATGCTTGTAGTGCCCACTGAAAAGCAAAGCTTTGTGTACCTGTGCTGGCTAAGACTTGCCCATCTGTAAGTGTGACAGCCTGTAGGTACTACACAAGGCACAGGTTTATTTGTTACTGTCTCACATTGCTCTTCATGGGAAGAACAACCTTTTCTTGTCCTTTCTTCCAGAACAGCAGCACCACAGGTGGCATGGTAAAACTTTTCCCCACACCATAGTTAGTGTTTTAAATGTTTTAGCACTTTTAGAAGTAATAACTAAGACCAGCTAAATTCTTGTTCAAATATTCAAAAGCAAAAGACAATATGACAAAAGGCTCACTACATGTACAGCAAGTACTCTGAGGGGATGCTTAAGATGGTCTCTCACCCATAGATCTCAGGACACCAGCATCTGGGAAGTAGTGGTGCATGTTTGCTCAGTACATCTAATTTCACTTGGAAATAAAAAGTTTTCAGGTAGGTTTTGGAATGCTAAGTGATTTTTTTTTCTTAGATAATAAATTACTTTTTGAAAAAGCTGCCTTCATAGCTACAAGGTTACTGCTTTATGCTATACTAACTGAAACACTAAAATCTTCATTCAGAAGATGAGATCATGCTGCATAAAATTTAAGGCACATGTATTAAAACAAGTTAAAGTGCTTTATGTATCCAAACTCATCACTGCACCTCAACTTGAGCTGAAGTTTGGTCTTTTTAATGTGCCTGTAGCAACACAGTTCTTTGTGGAAGAAAAGAAGCTGACACGACAAAGTACAAAGACCAGGCTCAAAAAACAGCAACAACAACAAAAAAAAGCCAGTAAAACGTCCTGGAGAGAGAAAAAAAATAGGTAAATTTAAATCAAATCACAGAATAGTCACAAATTGCCTTGTGGCTGTAAATAATCATCCCTGTTGTAGAAAAAAAAATTCTTCCACATGAAAAGGTAATTTATCAGTCACTACTATCAGTTGTCAAAGACTTTTCAATGACAGTGTATACAGTCTATGCTAAACACTGCAAAGCAGTAACTTTTATCATCTTGCATGATAAATGGGGTTAAAGTTTGGCAGTGTGAAGACTGAAGGGATGAATTTCTACTGAACTACCCACAGGGCCCTGTGAATCTTAATTTTCTTGTTTGGTAAAGGAGAGTTACCAGGGTAGAAGGGCACTGCGTCACAAAGCAGGAATGTAATTTAGCTGATTACAGCACCTAGACATGTAAGTGAGGGTATCTGATGAAGAACCATGACGAAGCAGGCGAGAACGTCGTTCACTGTCTTCTAGTACTGCTTCTTGGCTGAGGGTTTGTAAGACACCAGAAGACCAAAGGAAGCATACCCAAATAAAAGTGTCTGAATGAACCAGTGAAACTGAACTGCCGGGTCAGTGATTCCTTTAGATCTGTAACAGTAACAAAAGCATAAAATGTGTCAAATGAAAAAGAACTTAAGGACTTGCAGACTATACTGCAGTACTTACAGAGTAAGGTTAGATATTCCTACCCATCCTTGATACATCAAACTTGATTAGAACACTTAAATTTAGCATCATTAATTTCAGTCTACTGAGACTTATTTGGTGTAGTAACTAAACATACTAGTCCTTCTGATTTTAGTGGATTTTAAGATATCTACAGAACAAAGGTTCTTTCAGAGATTTCATGCATACAATTTCCTCAATATAAAAATTCCAGTCTCAGTCTATACTACTTTATTCATCCTAGAAGTTTATGGGCGAAGAACCAAGAAAGTAGAGTAGCTTGATACTAATCTGAAGTCTGTATACAACTTCTTGTTGACTGCAGTCACTGAAGGTGGACCGTATGATAGCAGGGCAGAGGCCTGACAACTGCTGTTTGGTACAGGATGGAGAGGCACCATTACCTGAATTTGTGGCTAGAAAAATACAGGTACAGGGAGCTGAATACAACTGATTTATGAAGCAGAGACCTTGCTATGTCAGTTAGTGTTAACTTGGTATATGTTGTTTGGGGTTTTTTTCTGTATATGACATAAAATGTTACTTTTTCCTCTACTTTGCTGCTGTTGAGAATAACTACTGAATTCTCAAAGAATGAGTATAAATATGACAGCAAAACTAATGTTTTTCACATTTCCAGTAAACAATTGTCAAGCATAACTATGCTCCAACTCATCAGTTTACAAGGCAGCTCCCTCTACTGATCTTTGCTACAACAGCTTAGCTGTATTCACAGCCACTACACGTGCAAAATGATTGTGTAGTGAGTGTTAACACATTTCTTAATTTTCATTCTTAAATTGTCTTTACCAGTTGTGAAAAACTTTTTATAATCCTAGCTGCAGCATTTCCAAATAAGTGCAGAAACTGGAAAAATAGAGCTTAAGAAATGTACCTGTTTAGATAAAGCAAGCTTAATTGAATAGACCATATGCAGAAATAAAGGCCAACAGCCAATGACAGTACTACTACTGATAAATCAATCTGTAAATGCTTCCTTGCTAGTTCTTCCCCATGCCCCCTTTGTGATGTTCATAAATAGACATCACTTTTGCCTCAGTAAGAGGCACATGGTGCTTCGTGCTCATAGAAAAGAACAACTGTTCAGTAACCTCCAGAAGTGTGCATAAAGAGCTGATGACGAGCAGGCAGTCTGTACTTTCTCATGGGCTTTAACACTACACAGCAAACTTTAATTACTTCACTTGATTGCAATACACCCATTTGGTACACTCACTGCTGATCAAATTCCCTCATATTTATAAATCACCTTTAGTCCATATACCTGTCTATCTGCAGAATCAGAGTTAGTCTTAACTTTAAAATACATGATTTAAAACCAGAGGCTGGTGAAAAATTTATTACTAACTCCCATCCTGAAGACAGAAAATGTTCACCTGTATTCTATTATGTCAAGAACTACCTTAAATAGCTTCCATGGAACAAAATCCCTTTGCCTCCAAGAGATGTTACCTGACAAGCCACTGACAGACAGTTGTGAACTAAAGGAATTGGAACCCCACCGTTTTTACAGTGGCAAACAGACTAGCAATTTACTCTGTAGAGCATGGGAACCAGTATCTAGATTCTTCTACATTATTACAAAAAAAATTCAAATAGGCACAAGGATGATGTATTTTGACAGCCTATATTTCCAAATAATTTGTTATCCTAACATAAATCTTAGATGGGGGAAAAACTTTTATAGTCAGATTAGTCAAAGTGGTTTATCCTACAGATCTGCAGATAGATCTTAAATAGTCCCAAATTGAAGTGTCCAATTTATTTGTACAACATAGCTGCAATCATTTAAGCAGGTAATCTGCTGTGTCAGAATTCTGATGAGGTAAGATCTGATCAAGTTTTAACACCTATGTTATGTGACTGTTTCTACACTCTCTATGGTTCCCTCTGCCTCCTAAAGCACCATGTTACCCAGTGAGTTCAGAGACAGGCAGACAAGCTCTGGCAAACCTTGCTGCTGCCAGTTCTGCAAGTTCCCAACCCTTGCTCTGCCACCCTGTACAACAGTAACCTCTGCCAAACTCTGCAGTAACCTCTTGTGAAGGACAGAAAACTATCACTGCAGCAAAAATTTTGTCAGTATCCTCTGAATTAATATTGCTGCTGAGAACCACTAAAACCTGCAGCCCATGTCTCTTGTATCAGAAATCCATCAGGGAGGAGGGGTGTGTGGAACAACAACTTACTGGCATAACTTAACACTGTAGAAGGCTTCTACTACGTGAATCAACCAGGATACCCAGAACCTAATAAAAAGAAACGTGGTTTATTTTGTTGAAAATTAGGGAGAAGACTATTGTATCCAAGATTTGTTATGCAAAGAGTGTAAAACTGGAGGCACAGAAATGACATTTCACTTCAATCTAGAAAGTGAGGCGTATTTGTTGTCTTAGGAAAAACACATGCATAGTCTTAAAAGAAACCCAAGTCCACTGAGAAAGTAAGAGGAACTGAAACTCATACAATATGCCTGAACCTGCCATTTCAAGTATCCACTGCATATTTCCTAAACTTTCAGCACTTAGATCAAGGCAAAAAGCCAAATGATGAGTAAAAGCAGTGCAAGTTAATCTTTGTCAAGTGTGCAAAATCTTTTACTTACACAAGTATTTTTAGTGGTCCTAAAGAGTTACTAAATTTTTTTTATAGGTTTAGTTCTGAGAAAAACAATGGTGTGCATAGATTCAGAATATATAACTTAAGCAGTCAAACTTATAGTCAAACTTGGTCTACAAATTTTAATAGAAAAGCTTTTCTTTTAAAAAAGTTACACAGGATATTTAATTTGCACTAGTTCAATACCTTGCTAAAGCAAAAGATGCTCTGAGCAAAGATGAAGTCTTATCTTCTACATGATGCTTAGTAAAATAAAATCCTGCTGTCTTTGCAGGAAGTCAGCAGGTGAGAGAGATCTAGTTACAGGGAAGTTTTTTCCAGCTTTTCTGGTAAGGAAAATAACAAAACCTAAGTTGGGTAACCCAGGAAAACTTAGCACTATGCAGTTTCTTCAGCAGGTTATTTCTCATGTGGAAAGGATCAGGCTAAATTAGTAGCAGGATAGAAAATGTTCTTTAATTGATGCTGGGGGGGAAAAAAAAAGGGTCCTAAAGAGTATTGGACTATTTGACGAACACTTTGACAAAAGACCCACTTTTAGGAGGTGTTACAAATATAAGTTTACATATGGACTAATGACTGTCTCCAAAAGTACTATCTTAAGTTTTTTCCTTTCTCACTATGACAGCACAGATACCAAATTCTAAGTTGAGTTTTTAACCTTTCATACTGGTCTTGGCCTGTCTAGTCTTCTACATACTTACACTTTAGTTGTAATGAGCTTGACAGGAGAGCTCTTTAAATGTAATTAACATCTGGGTTACAGTAAAGCTTGTTAACACAGACTAAGCAGTAGAGTCAGGAGCAACAGGAAGGATGCAAAGTAATTATACAGCCAAATAACTTACCCATAGCATACCCATATGTGGTGGTTTTCCACTAAATAATTAAGGAAGGTACCAAATAGTCCCAAATAACTATAAGGTATAGTTGAAGGCCAAAGCGTTACCCACTTTAAAAAGAAAAAAAGAAAAGGCAAGCTTACTTCAAGGTAGAATTACAGTCAGTTTAACCTTCAAATTAGCTTTTTTTTTCCCCCGCTCCCCCTGCTCCCCATGTCTGTCAAACGTGGTTTAGGGCTCATCCACTAATAGTGTTTCAATTCTTTCATCCCATGAACTCTGTCCAAGACCCACATTCTACAACAAGACCACTAGCCACCTAAAGTGCACTTACTTAAGAAGATACAAACCTATTAAATTCCTTTTCCTTGGCACACAAGATACCAGGGTGGTAAGTTCAAAGTTGCTATCTCTGTACCAAGAGTGCACCTGCACATTAAGTGCATTTAATCTGTAAACTCATTACCTATTACACAGGGTAACAGCCAAAAATACATTGTCTCTGTCCTTAAGAAGTTAATCTGATGTAACTGACCAGAGGAATTTAAACAATGGCTAGACTGACAAGGAGGAAAAATACCTACAACTAGGGGATTGGTCTTTGTTCCCTAAAAAAAGAAAATGTCAGATTTTGTTCTGTTTTGAACAGGGCACAGAAGATAATTGAGCACAAAGCCCAAAACCAAAGATGCACGCAGTGTTCAGGATCTTTCCTGTTACTGAGTTGTCTGAAGTGCTTATCACTGCCTACTTTTATTTTTAACAAGCTGTGCAGAAGGAACAGGGAGCTGGTGAGCCATGCACTTTAGAGTCCACTAGGTAAATACTAAACTGGGCCAAAGCTCTCAAGGGCTTATCTTGCCTCTGCTATCAATGATGCAGTTTCTAACTATATGAAAATTTGGCTATGCCAAGGATGTGGCAAGATAAAGGATTATAAACAGAAAATCTGCTTAAAGCTCATTCTGTTCCTTAAAACTGTCTAAAAGGTGTTTTGTTTCTTTTGTTTTGCGAGTTGCTTGGCCTGCCTTAACTGTCATTTTTTCAGTGGTGGTTTTTTTATGTAGAAAATCCCTATAAATAGAAGAAACACTACAACACATGGAAGTCAATGGATAATCTCCATAAATCTGTCTGATATATCAAAACTTACTAAATCTCCTTACTCTGGTAATCTGACCTATTTTAGCTGAAGTCCATTTTTAGAAGTTAAAACACCATGGTGGCTGAACTGGTCTGTTTTCTAACAACACTACCAGTTAATTTAGACTGTAACTAAAGCCACCAACTGTAAAGGCACCTTATTTATTGCTATAATCAATAGCTGTCCTCGAGGTACTTTTATTGACACACAAAGCAGTTTCAACTTTGAAGACACTTTCACAGGCTACGCGCCACCCAAACCTGCAGCTACAGCACTGGGGTGGCTGTAATCGCACCCTGGGATGCTGTACGCCCTCAGCACCAGGGCCTACCCTCGCTCTGGAATCAAATTCAAGTTGGCTTGTTTTTTGTTGTGTGGGTTTTTTTTGTTTGTTTTTTTTTTCCTGAGCTACCTTCATGGATTTGTTCAGCTCCCTCATAAGCCAAGCAGCCTGTTCCCTTTGCTTTTCCTCCCGATCTATTTCAGACAGTGGCGCTTCCATGGACACTGGGACGATGAAGGATACCTGTTCCACAAACCCTGCACCTTTACTGAGCTTCGTGCGAGGCCCGCTGCGGACAGCCGAAC